TTTTAAAGAGGAAGCTGGCGCGTATGGCAGCCGAGGAGCACACTCTGCAGGACACTGGACAAGACAGTAAATATTCAACTTTTAATGCTGATTAAAGGAGTATAGGTAAAGAATGCGTAGGTATACATAATTGGTGAGACAAACTATTCACTTTATTTATATTTTAAATATTACTCTTTTAATTTGGTAAATGCTATCCAGTTTTGTAGTTGTCCTTGTTGATTTGTGTGATATTAAAATGCTAGTAATAATTGGCTAGGATTCTCTGATTATGGAGGGTTTAGTTGGTTGCTGTTTGTTTGGATTGGGAGGGATGATTTAAATTTAGAGCTAGAGACCAATTTTAGTGGTTGCACAGTTTGCTGTTTGGAAGACAAGAGGGTGGCTATAAAGCTGTCCCTTTAAGTCAGTGCACAGAAGGAATTTCTAGGAAGACTAGTGCAGATGGCTAAGTGAGTATTTTACTTTTCTAACATCTTACCCTATCCTCCCGTTTAGGAGGAAGAGCGTGCAAAGCGTGAGGAACTTGAACGAATACTAGAAGAGAATAACAGAAAAATTGCAGAAGCACAAGCTAAATTGGTAAGTTCGTTTTACTATCATTGAGAGATAAAGCAGTAAATCCATGGGGGAGGTGGAGTAGGATTACAGAACATAAATTACAGGTTAAGATTTGCATAATGTCACGGATTCTTAGGCCCATAATTTGATTGAAAAATATTCATCTCTTTCTTGGGAGGTAGTCATTATCTCTTTCTTCTCACTCACTGAAATCTGCTTTGGAAATATTGGGGAAGCCAACCATTGTACTGGTAGTCTAAATTTATCACCAGTTACAATGTACCTTTCCCCAAAATATCTTATAATCTAGATTGGCACTTCTGATGGCTATGTCTTCCCCCTGGTTATATATCGTATTTTGGATGTTGGGCAACTGGCCCACATTTATGGGTCACATGACTATGATTTAGGATTATTTTTTTTTTGCGAGAAACCTACATTTCCAAGAAAAATGACTCACTGGGGACAATGGTTCACTTAATGAGGACCCAGTTTGTGGGGGCAATAAACTGACTTTGTATAAAATATACAAAAGTATGAAGGCTATTGCTTAACGTACTGTAAGCCGCCCTGAGTCTCCGGAGAAGGGCGGCATATAAATCAAATTTTTTTAAAAAATGACAGCTATATCAATGTGGTAAAATTGGCTTGATCGTGTGCCTCGACTTAATGACTGTCATGCTATGCAATGGAAATTCTGAGTTTCATTACAATCGTAAGTCAAGGACCACCTTTACAGAAGCAAAATATATGCTTTTGGAGATATTGCCAAACATCCAGCTTTTGTATTTGCTCCTTAAATCTATGAATGTTATCAAATTGTTAATATAATAAGAGAACATTATTAAATATGGGACTTGAGAATGGTTGTGTGCTTTTTTTTAAATTTAGTATCATTAAATGAAAATGAATTCAAATTTTGTTCTAGTCTCATTCAGTGTTTCTTAAAATCAATCTCATGTGCAATGTTTGAAATGCAAAAGATTTTACTTCTCTGTATTTATGGATAATTTTCCCTGTTGTTACAAAAAAAAAAAAAATGCCACGGTGAAAACACAATATAAAAATTGAATAAAGTAATTCTTAACTTTCGTCCTAGAATTCTTAACTCCTAGCTTTTAATTTGCACTAGGAGTTGTATCACAGATCAGATTATACTTGACCCTGTAGGTTGAATTCATAAATTAAGGATATAGGAGAGATACTCAAATGTACAAATTAATTCTAGATGGATTGGTTAAATCTGATCTTTTAACATCTTTTAACGTCATTGTGGTCCTACATAATTTTAGATAGCAATCTGGGTGATTTTAAACTTCAAGCATCTTGGGACAATATTTCTCAGCTACTTTTGATTTTATAGTTCCAAATAGTTTTCCTAACTTTCTATTGGAACATTATTTAATCTTGCTTACTCCTCTCAGCTTCTTTGTTTTGATTCTTGTTTATACTCTGTGTCCTGTCACCACTGTCAAGTGTTTTTTTTAATGAAATTGTGATAGGAAACAATGTGAAAATGGCTTATTTTCTTTGAGTAATCCAAGACAGTTTATGGGTATTGCACTATTTCTCCTAATGCTAAAGAATGAAATCGGCTTTTCTCAACAAAGCTATGCTAGTACTACAAAGTTATATGTAATGTTATGCAAGGAGTATAAAATGTAATCTAAACTCTCTTGTTTTATGGTTACAGGCTGAAGAACAATTGAAAATTGTTGAAGAACAAAGAAAAATTCATGAGGAGAGGATGAAACTAGAACAAGAAAGACAACGTCAACAAAAGGAAGAACAAAAAATGATCCTAGGCAAGGGAAAAACTAGGCCAAAACTGTCATTCTCACTAAAGACTCAGGATTAAATTTCAGCTCCGAACTCTTAATGAAAATTGGGGAAAAAAATCTTTGTATAGTAGCTTCATGTTGAAGTGGTTTTTTTTTTTTTTTATTTTCTTTGGTGATTATTATTTTTTGGGGGGGGCATCTGAAAAGTTAGCTTGTTCTAATAGGGGCTGTGCTCTGCATCTCTTATTTTAACGTCTGTTAAGTTAAATCCTTATCAGATCATTGTCTTAAAGAATAAATCTATTCTTATCTGTTTTGATTCTGTGATAAAGTGGTTTGATGCAGATCAGGTCACCTTATTAATTATGTATGGTCTGATAAGGTTTTTACTACCCGCTGATCTCAGAGTTATACTCTGATGCTAACTATTAAAGCTGGTTTTATTTTGCTAACTTTAAAAAAAAGTTTGGCAAATATATTGGTAAATTCCCACAGTGTACTGGATCCTCAGTGGTTTGTTATACCAGTGTCTTTTGATACTATTCCACTATTGTGCTTGATGTTCCTGATACAGGTAAGGAAAAAGTTGGTCAGTGTTGCTGGAGATGTGTAAAGGGAGTTCAGTATTGTCTCTACTAGAATTGTTTTTATTCCACTGATAAAACTCAACCAGCATTCCCAATTGTGTAAATAAACCAATTTGCTGAATAAAATGAAACTTAAATTCATATGTTTTAAGTAAATTTTTTAGTGCATGTATATTTTATGCTAATAAAACTTATTTTCCTCAAATCAGGCACACATTGGAATTAAGTTCATCAACATTTTTCATACTTTCAGAGCCAAGATTACACTGCAGGTTGAAATTATTGTCCTGTTAAGTGGCTCTTGCTGGTTTAATGATGGTTTTTACACTGGTGGGGCACTTATTTCAACTGTGCATTTACTGTCTTTTTGGCAAGGACCTTGATAGCTACTATCATGTTTCCTTACATAATAAAATTGTGGACTTGATACTTGGCTTAGTTTCAAAACCAATTGCCATGGAGTGTTATGGAGTTCTATTTGAGGACAGCTTTGGTCTTGTAATTAGTTTAATAGTTTTTGGATCCCCAACCTGAACATGATGGGCAAATAAAACTGGCCACATAGGAACAATCTTATTAAGAGTATTCCATTTTTACAATCCTGTAATCCCTTAATTCGGCACTGTGTTCCTGAAAATATTCACAGGTACTTTTGGGCATAACAGTTCATTACAGTAATTTTGTAACTTTTTTTTTTTTTTTGCCAATGTTGTAAGATTAAATAAAGATTAAGTTTCCAAGTAATTGCTAGTCCTAGAAGGTGCAACACTTGCATCTTGCTTGTTTTCGGCAGTTCCTTGAATTCTTTTTCACATGTAGGCTGAACCTTGTCATGTACTATTTCTTCTAGACTTGCAGCATCCTTAGTTGATGTTCTTATTCCAGTATTTAAAACAAATATCAACAACAATGGTACCCTTTTAGTTTTGTTTTTATGTAACATTAATTGTATCAAGTTTCCAGTGTGTGGCATAGGTTGAACAGACTCCTGTTTTGCTTGCACGAAGTACGGAATGAAAGATCACGAAGTATACAGTTGAACAGTCGGTATCTCTGAGGATGTTTTTAATAAATTAATATTGCTGTGACCATTGTGCTGTTCTTAATTTAATCAGACTAAAATAAAGCAATAATGCCTGGGAGTTTCAGATTATTTCAAATCTCAATAGATTATAAAAAAATTAATTGCTCTGATGCTGTAACTAGAAGCATTCCTTTGGAAGAGACCATTTGAAATTTCAGTTACTAAATGTGCTAATTGTACATTGGTATTTTTAAATCTCGGACTCCTGTGCATACAACTCCTATCAAATTGTTATATCAAATGAATTAGACACAGAGTTTGCTTTTGCCAAAGCACGGTGCATTCTCTGAAGGGTAGATTTCCCCCCCTCTCCATGTGCATCTTGTACATATTCAGAGGATTCTGGAACCTTCTGGATCATATTTTCACAGGCCCAGGCAATCTCAAGGAAGGGATCAATTAGGAATCAATCATCAATCCCAAATCAAAAAATCTCTCTGGATAACGTTATGGATTGAAGCATTTTTATTTAGTTAGTTTTCAGAGCTTGCTATGTCTATAAGGGTCTACTTCTTCATTTGGGAAGTGTACTTTTTAATATATATTTGCCTTATAATTGTAGTATATCCAGTTAGGCAATAATTTCACTGACTTGGGAGTGTTTGTTTTGCTTTGCTATGACTTCCTCTGTTTTATTTCCCCTAAAAATCCCCTCACTAAAAATGTGTTCACTTTATTATCAAAAGTTAGCAAGATAATGCTCTGGGTTGCGCTTGACCTTGGGGAGAAGAAGGGCTTTGTATTGCTGATGCCAGCATATGGGCTGTCAAAAAGAAAAATACTGCATACTACAACTTGTTCTATCTGGGGCTACATTTGGTGAGTGCCTCAAAGTTGATGCAAAATGGAAAGTTGCTAGTTGATGAAATCTGCCAGTAAAATTAAAAAAATAAACTGAATGCTTTGTGGAATGCTGTTTAGTTTCCAGTAAGTCTTTGTGCATAGAACTGACCCTGGTTCATTCATCCCAGATGGAAATGTGGAAAGTACCACTTACCATATGAGATCAGGAGCATCATATTTTGGAGGAGGATGTACATGCTATCTTTACCTTGTAGATTTTGAATGGTGCCTTCCCTGATGGTATTCAGGAGGGCCACGGAAATGGCTCTTCCACAGACCCCTTAATCAAAATGTTATTACCTGGCTTTTAAAGAGTTGAAATATTGTTGCTTAATATAGGTGCTCGAGTTAAGTTGTAATGTTGTAATGTTGGTTATAAGTTATAATTTTTATAAGGTTTTTTTTTAATTGATGGGGTCTTTGTTGGCAATACAAAATGTGAATATTATAAATAAATGCTAAGTTGTAAAATAAAATGGATACTTGTTAAAAAAGGGAGCGAGAACTGGAAAGTCCTAATGAACAAAACTTTCACAACAGTGGCAGTGTGTGTGTGTGTGTGTGTGTGTGTACATATACATTACATATTTATATGTATATATTTGTGTGTGTGTATATATATTGTACATTACATGTGTGTGTGTGTGTGTGTGTGTGTGTGTGTGTGTGTGTGTGTGTGTATGTGCATATGGCTCTCAGTTATAGGAAACGATCCTGTGCTCGTGTGCTGCTCAGCATAGAAGCTTTATTCAGCAGAAATATTTCAGTGGAAACCAACTATTAGCAATGTCCCAAATAAAATATGTCGAAAATAAAATAATACATCTTGATCAAAACCGCAAAAAAAAAGTTTAGACATTCCCAATTCTTCCTGTAGTTAAAAATAGCTAAAATAGCTTCACCAAGCATGCTAAATATAATTGGCTTTTCTAGCTATACTGCAAAAGCTGCTAGTGAAACTCTGCCAACAAGCTGAACTTGAAGTACAGCTGGAGCTCAAGTTTGATTCATTCAGAATTACGTTTTGTAATCAGTTGTCTAATAAAACCGTATCTTCCTCGACAAGGAAAAATGGTTCCATTCCTTGATTAATATTCTTCACTATGTGTATATCACAAGCATGCTCCTTGTTTCTAAAGCTTTCCTGCTACCAGGAAACATGGTGTTGACTTAACTTTCAGCTAGGTTGCTGAATCTCTGAAGCCTAAGTTATCCTGATTCCCATTTTTATTGCAGATTCACTAAATCTCTGTATTTTTGTTCCATATACAAGGGACAGCTTTAGTTTTGCACTAAAGAAAGCTGTTCAGAATTTATCCACATCTCATCCTGTTTTATACATGTAACAAATTTTCTAATTTTGGTCTTGCTGTTAGGCCCAAAATATCAAGTTTGGAAATTGTAATATTTTTATTACTCGATTTAGAGTCTGTCTTTTTTGTTTAATATGGTGTCAACTGCTGATTGCCACCCACCCACCCAAAAAAAAAATGCTGAGCATATGGAACAGGGGGTCTGTAACTATTTAGAAGAGGAAAGGGTTACAATTACCAGTTTCTGGTGTGGCATCCTGAGCGATTCCAATTCGAAGTATTGCTGCCCGTGAAGCAACTAAATTTTCTGGAAGGACATTGTCAAGACAGTCATTTATGGGGAAGAAAGAAAAAAGTGGTTTTGTCCAGGGGATTATTTTTGCAAGGTTTCTGCCACTGACCTTCACTTTATTTCCTTTCTTGCATTGTGACTATTCTCAGCAGCTGAGGAAATGGTGACGAAGCTTCAAGTTCAATTTGCTTTTTCTTTTCCTTGAACGAAAGTCAAGAGGACTGGTCAAGAGGACTGATTCTTTAGTCAGGGTTTAACTCCATGCTTTTAAATTCATTCTGGCAAAACTGAGACTGTCTGATGAAAAGATGGAATTCTTTGCATCTGTGGAGCCAGCCCAAATGCAACTTGATTCCTATTGTAATTCCGTTTTAGGTTCGGCCAAGGCTTTCTGGTTAAGAGCCCAGTGCCAACAAGAATTCTTGGAAGCTAGATCCTGGGGACAGTTCCTTGGAAATCAATCCGAATTATCCCAGCCTGCAATCCAAGGCCTGTTTACCTGAAATCCAGACACAAATGGTTTTATCAGTTTTATGGTCACCAAAGCATAGATTTTATTTCCAATTTAAAGCACATGAGACTTTCAAAGACCCAGAAGGTTGTATATATCCAAAGGGGGAGGGAGAAACATCCCCCTCCCCCACAAAATGATACTTTCCCCTTAGGACAAGACCTTCCTCTCTCCTTAAAAGGGGAACCTGCGCTGAGCTAATTGTCCCTTTGTTCCCAAAGGGAATAGTTTTGCAAAGGAGAGGTAAAAGCTGGTTGCCACTCCACAAGTCAATTTGTTCAAACTGCCTTCCTCTTTTTATTCCTCTTCAATCCGGGTGGATTTCATTTTTTTAAAATTTTTTTGCACCGCAAAACCGTGGCCAGGTAGACGAGCATCCGAGAGCGCGCAGGAAGCTTCCCCGACGTAGAAGCGAAACTGAAGCCCTAAAGTTAGAGGCTTGGCACCTTCTCCACTTCGCTGCTGTTGTCGGCTTGTCTTCCTCCTGCGGGCTACGCGTGGCGGGCTCGATCCCTTCGCTCGCTTTTAAGGCTAAGACAAATCAGAGTAATTCTTGCCGGTAGCCCGGGCCTACTTATTCCGAAGGGGAGGGAAAGTCGCTCGTTCCCGGTTTAGGCAACCGCAGCTGTAGGCCCCTCTAGCATCCCAAAGCCGGGAGAGAGCTTTACGCATTCCTCTCCGTCGCCCATTTCTTTGGCAATAAGCCCTAGTGCTGAGCCAGACTTGGTCCTGCGAAAATCTGCCCGAGAGATTGTAATCAGGAACTTCAAAAAAGCGCAGTTCTTGAGGGTTACTAGATTGGGGCTATACAAATCCGAGTGATTCTCATTACCCCCCCTATAAGAATGAATGAGAGATGCCTGTCTCTGCCACCATCTAGTGGTCGACCGGATTTTTGACAGCCCAGATCTGGCTGGTATCTCAAATCTTCTTGTTTCCCGCGGTTTATTATCGAGCTGCCTTGAAAACGTGCAAACCTTAAGAGTTCATTTGTGCTGTCGCTGAAGGAAGCGGGGGGGGGGGAACATCCGAAGAAGTAATGAAGTGGCCGAGGAAGTGATTCCGTCCTTCTCAAGCTTTCTCTCCCACGCCATTCAGCAGGCAGCCGCAGCACCCACCTCTACTCAAAGGGAGATGAGCGAAAGAGCTCCGAAATCGTAAAAAAAAAAAGAGAGAGAGAGAGAGAGAGACCGGAGTTTGGGCCGACCGGCAGCGGCAGAGATCCTAAGCAGCCCCATCTTCCCCCCTTTTTACATGCTTCTCCTTAGGCATCTTTTAGGGCGCCCTACCTGGAAACCTCAGTCCGTCCCTTGCTGCAACTGTCGAGGACTTCGGCCTGGATTCCCTGAACAGGTTGAGCTAAAAGCCGACCCTCTGCACTGTTCCTTTGGAAAAGCCACCTCGAGGCGTCCAAGCAGCTGCGGAGCGAGTCTTCCGAGACCGCCACCCCCATCCTGGATCGCTGAGCACCCACCTGCCCTCCCTCCCCCGGCCCCACCAATCCCGATCAGAGCTCCTAGGCCTTTTCGCACCGCATCTCCACAACAGCCAAAGGAGCCACCTCTCTATAGGTCGTCCAGCTCAGCGAATTAGATCGGATCCAATAGATCGGGACAGGGGGTAGTAGGCACACCGAACTTCCAGGCGCCGTCTTCCTGAATGAATAAAAACGTCAGAAAAAGTTGAAATCTTTTAAAAGCATTTTTTTTTTTTTGCAATTCTTCCAAATATTCTGGGGAAGGGACTCCTTGGGGCTAAAGTGATTGGCTTCACTTTGTTCGTTTCCTTCTCCCCCCCCCACCCAATATCCTCAACGTGGCTATTTCCAGATGTGTTCTTCTCCCAGCTGGCGAAGCCGCTTCAAGTTGGAAGTCTCTCGGGGTCTTTGTAGGGCTCCAGAGGCGCCTGTCTCAGAAGGGCGAATTGGCTGACTTTCTTTTCGGATGGGGCTCCGAGCCTCTAAAAGGGAACGTCACTTCTTTTTGGAAAAGGTAACTTGCCGAAGAAATATAAAGGTTGTCTCCCATTTCTATAATCGTCCCGCTTCTTCTGCTTCTCTTCGCACCTGGGGCTGGGATTCGCAGCATTGAATCCCGGAGAGAGGGGGAGCACAGAGGATTGTCCTCCCGCCCCCACAAAAAAATTATTTGGGCTGCTCAGGGACATCGAATCAGTCCGCTTGGAGGAGGTCAATTTTGTTCAAGTGTCCCAGGAAAAAGAGAGAAGCGCTCGATCCGGAATGAGCAGATTCTAGCCACCCCATTTCGGTGACTGCGGGAGACTGTGCCAAACTTGGAGCTGCGAAATCGGAGTCAATCGGTTTTGGAAGTGGGATTTTCATTCGGCTTTAAGAAAAAATAATACTCCCCTCTCCCGCTAAGTACACAAGGAAAAATTCCAGAAATTTGAAACCCGGTTTAAATTATTAACCCGCTCTCGTGATGATTTTCTGATATCGTTTTATTTAAGTGCAAGAACGTTAAGTTTTAATGATGAGAGGAGGATAAAATTCTGCGTAGACTTGACATTTATTTTCCAGCTGCTTTGTTCCCTGTGGTTAAGCCAATATTGAAAAGTGTTTTCAGCTTCTCAGTCCGAAAGAACTAATTTTTTTTACGTCATTGCATTTATTTTTAAATAGGTATTTCTCGAACAAACCTCCAATGTCGAACCATACACTCGAGGGATCACATACCCTTCTAATATCGCCGCAAAATTATTTTTTATGGCTATCTTGCTTGAAATCCGCATCATTTTGAGATAATTTCGAATTCCTACCTCTCCACTACTCAAAACCCCTCAATTAAAACGTTTTATAATTCATAACATATGGGCTCGATCTAGTTTTAGCCAGATTTTAATTTGCGTTCGTTTGCTTTGGCTACCTGCCGATTAGACAGATCAGATCGAAAGCAGCACATTTCACCTCTCATCCCTAAACGGGTTCAATCTCTTAAAAAGCCCGGCGTTAACAACGACGATGATTTCAACAACAAAAAACAACAACAAAAAGTCCAGTTTGACTTCAAGGCGAACTTTTCCGAGGATCGCCAAAACGAAGGTTAAAATAAAGCCGCGGTCTTTTCATAGCGGCCGCTAGTGGGTGCTGTCGCTCTATGAAATTACATACAGCTAGCGGCAGGCTAAGAACGCAGCGCTTGGGTTTGTCCAAAAAGCGAGAGCAGCCGCGCTAGCGCGTCCTTTTAATTTCAAAAATCGGCTCCAAACTTTGTCGCGGGGCTTCCCTTTCCAACGAATATTTTGGGCCCGGCAACCGAACCTAACCGCGCCGCCCATAAAGCCCCCAGTGCCGGAGGGGGGGGGGTTGCAAAGCGACCCCACACCCCCACACGAGCGGACGCAAAAGCGATACAAATGCGTTGCGCGGGAGAAGTTGCGCCTTCAAGCTCGCAAGCCAGAATCCCCCTCACGCCCCTCTGGTAGTTAAGAATTTGCGCCAAGTCGCAGGTTTGCACCGGGCGAGTTTGCAACGAGCCTGGCGTCGCAAGCGAGCCGCGCAGGCTTTTTACCAAGGGAAAAGGGTTCAGAATAATGCAACCCCCCCCCCCACACACTCTTCCCGGCGCGCTCCTTATTGCAGCGAGTCCGCAAAGGAGCTTTCCAGGGCTACGATCTGGCTGACGTGTGTAACTCGAACCTTAAAGAGAGTCTCGGGCTCAGCGGTCAGAGGCCGCCTGCTTTTCAAAGCAGGAGAAATAAGGCGAAGGCAAAGTTGGCGAGTTCCGAAGGACGCTCACAGGCTTGGCGGGGAACGCGAGAAGTGCGAGACGCTCCCTGCGCGCAATCCTTAAGAAACACACCTGCGCCCAGCTGCGGGGGTGGGGGGTGAGGGGGAAAAGCAGCGCTTGGCCTTCTCGGCTCCCCAGAGCGGCTCCCCGGCTGAGGCGGCTCGCGCTGCAGGATAGGGCGCATTACCTGTCCCTCCCTCCCCCTTTTTTCCCCGCGCCGGCCCCGCCCCTTTGGAAGGTGGGCTTCGCTTCTGGGCGTAAGTGACAGAGGCGTCACCCAACCAGCGCAAGAGTTGCTGGAAGAGGGGGGTGGCTGGGTTTATAATGAGGAGGCAGGGCGCGGGAGCGCCGACTCGGAGCTTCACTCTCGCGTTTGGAGTCTAGGAGGAGACCGCGGCAGGAAGCCCGGCAGCCCGGCAAGACGCGGTCGAGCGAGCCTTGAACCAGAGGAGGAAGAGGGCGGCGGCGGGGGAGGGGAAGGGAAGCGGCGGCGGCGGCGGCGGGAGAGAAAAGGCAGCGGCCGCTCTGTGTGGCGACGGCGACGAATGTGAAGTCGAGGGCGCCTGCCCGCCTGCCTGCCTGGCCTCTCGCTCCGTCTTCTCTTCCTCGCCGTGTCGTCGTCGTCGTCGGAGGCGGCGGTGCGGGCGCTGGGAGCCCGCCGGAAGCATCTCTGCCTTTGCCGGGCTCGCCCCGCTGAAGAGGGGACGAAAAGCCTTCGGACGCCAGGAATAAGCAGCCTCTTCTGGGCGATGGAACCCCGCGGATCTGCCGCCGGGCGGCACCGGCTACCTCGCGTTCTCCAGGTGGATTTATAGAAGGGGCGAAGAAAACTGCGGGCGCCGCCGGGGAATTAATTGGGCGTCCTCGCTCGGTTTTTCCTTCGCGCTTGATCCCGGTGGCAGCCACCGGCGCCAAGGCGAGGCGGGAGCAGCTGAGCGCAGCGGCGGCGGCAGGACTGAGCGACGGGCGGTGCTTTTCGTCGTCGTCGTCGTGCTCCTTTGGGCGGCCGACGGGGGGACCTCGCCTGCCTTCTTCCAGCTCGGGATTGCCCTTCCATGCCGGCGGCGGCCGTGCGCTCGACGACTTAAGTCCGGGAGGGCGAGCTCGTTGGCTGCCCGGGATTTGCCTCTGGTTGTGGCTCCTTCGCGTGGGGGGAGATTGAGGACGCCTCCGTTCTTCCGGGCGCCGCGGAGTTGGCGAACCTTTGGGGCAGGAGGACCCGCCGGCGGCGCCCCCGACCATGGTAGTACGCCGGGGGGGGATCCCCGCTCGGGAAGTGCTGCTGGGGGATCTGGGTGCTTTTGTGCCGGACGGCGCTGGCCAGCTCTCTGGTGCTGGAGCCCATCTACTGGAACTCCTCCAACTCCAAGTAAGTACCCGGGGAGGCTCGCTTCTTCCCCAACCCCGGCTAAGGCGGGTAGGCAAAGGGGCAGCCTCGCTCTCTAACGCGCGGCCAAAGGCCCTTTAGGCAGGCCGCGGCGTCGCCATCCCAGCGAGCTGCGGGAGGGCAAATGGGTCGCAAACCCCTGGCCGAGAGCCCTCCGTCGGAGAGGCCGGACAAACCGGACTGCCAACTGGAACAAGACGGAGGGAGAGGGGGGGAAGGAGCCCTCAGTTTAGTCCTCTACCCTCCTCTCTTAGGTGGGCACTTCGGGTGCTGAGCCTCTCCAGTGGGGGAGTGGGGGGGGGGGGGGGGGGAGGCTATCTCGAAGTATCGTGCAGCGATTTTCTTTATTTTATATATATATTTATACATACATACATACATACATACATACATACATACATACACACACATATACATTATATATATATATATATATATATATATATATATATACATACATACATACATACATACATACACACACATACACACACATATACATATACATATACATATATATATATATATATCACGCTTCGCTGCATCGGTGGGAGTGACATTCCTCCGCTTTAGTAGCGAAACGCAGAGCGGCTCTTGACTGCGATCCGCATGCTGGTCTGGAGGCTTTCCTTGAAAGGAACGGAGCCCCAGCGAAAGGCACGGCTCGGAATTGTTTCCTGGCGAGGAGGGGGCAGTAAATGACTTGAGGACACCCCGAAGCTTTCTGGCCGTGCAGAGTGTTAGGAAGCGGGCCTGGTTTGCCAGAAACGTAAGGTCCTTTGTAGAGGCGAACTGGGCATCCTTTTTCCAGGATTGTAGCCTGTTGAGGAAAGGACCTGTGTGGAAAAAGTGGGAAGGGATTGAAGAGACCAGCGTCTTCCCAGTTTTTTGCCCTTCTTTGTAGACCCAGGTAAAGGCTCCCAGGCATAATCAAGACTCATTCTAATTTTGTCAGCAGAAACCAGGCCAGTGCGTTGAGGAAGATGTTTGCCTAGCCGAATGTTTTCCCACTTCAGGGATCCAAGCAGAACAAAGATAATAGGCACCCTAGAAAGGGTTGGGACTTGAGAAAGAGTTGATACAAAGAATTAGAAAGTGACATCTGGTGGGAGTTTCCATCTTAAGTCTAGTGGATTTAGACATCTCCCCTCCCCCCCCCAAAGCTTCTAGGGTAAACTTCTGGCGTAGTTCAGAGTTTCCTACCATATGATATAAGGATGAAGTATAATACTGTAAGAACATGCTTATGTAAGGGCTTTATGCTTAGAATAAAGGGGGTGGTTGGAAGAATTCGATATTTCTTTCTCCTGTTGAAAAATATCTTCCTGCAAATAACTACGCCTGTTAACTTTTGCACTCTAAGAAACCATTATTTGAGTGGATTTTTTCTGTGTTTTGTTTCTAAAAGAAGTGTAGAGGAAATTAAATTCTTTTCTTTCTTGAGAAAACAATTTTTTAAAAGCCACATCAATCCTGGTGATGATTTCTTAGCAAGTGGTTTGTTGAAAGTGATTATAGTGAGATCCGCTTCTCTGCATAACCTCCTAAACTTGCTGGGCGTGAACAGACTACACTTTTCTCTGTAAAATAATCCAGCTGGATTGGAACAGCCTTTCTCACAAGTGTGAAATAGTTTATGAGTTGGATATACTACTTGCAGCTCTAGAATAACACGCATTTGAATTTCAGCCTAAAAGTAAAAACTTTAATTAAGATATTATGTTCATAAATTAAAATATTTTGATATCCATCATTTTTCTCCCACTCCACTATTGATTCTGCTCATTCCTCTCTTTTCCCCAAAGTTGTTTTTTTTTTTTTTTTTTGGTCCAAAGCGGCCCTGATTAATATATTTAGTTAAACATTCAGTTAAAACCTGACTAAATGAAGAATGGCTTTTATTTTCATTAAAATGTGGCATACTTCCCTATCCTTTATGAAGACCATGAAATGCTTTGTCCAGGTTCAGTAACACTTTCTCCCTTTCTTGAGATAGATGTACACTCTTACTACTGCTGGAGAGGGATGCCAAGAGCTTATTTTAGCGTTCTCTCTGCAACTTAAAAAAGATTTTGATTAAACTCAGATTAAACCAGAAAAGAAATCTACCACAAAGGATTAGTAGAGTTTATTTGAAGTGCTTGTGCGTAGGTGTGTAACTACATGTTGAAGTGGAGAAGTTATCCTAGTATATAATAGTGTTAAGATTAGTCCTAGAAAAAAAATATATTCTCCCACCTTTCGCTGCAGTCTAGTGGTTGCATTTTTCCTACAGAGGTCACTCTTCCAGTACTTAAAA